AGTCAGCAGATTCGATTATATACACATCGATATCGTCGGAGCCCTCCCCTATTACAGTGGTAATTCTTACCTACTAACATGAATCAAGTGTTTCACTCGAAGGTCTGGAACCATTCCCATGGTAAACACACTGGCAGAAACCATCGCCCGAGCATTTGTTCCCAGATGAATAGCCATTTTTGGCATTCCCTCTTAAATCACCACTGACCATGGCTTCCAATTAGAATCCCAGCCTTTCCAAAGGTTGACGGAATTATTGGGCTGCAAAAGAATTCGCACCACAGCTTATCATCCCCAGGCGAACGGTTTAGTTGAACGTTGTTATCGACACTTAAAAACCGCGAGCAAAGCACCCTCTGATCCGACTCAGAGGACAGATGACTTTGCTCCATTTGCATACAATGTTTCGATCAACCCTAAAATGTTCCCCCGCGGAGTTAGTTTTCGAACACATTGTGCATCCCCGGTCAACTCTTTTTACTCCGATAGCGAACAGTAACAATTACTCCTTCACTTAAGTCACTAAACTGCGGAATCCATGAGCAAACTTCTTTATTGTGCACCAAGGAGTTCAGTGAAATCACCCTGATATATGATGAGACTGGTTGCAGGAGGGTGACTTCCTGCTCTTAGCGGTCTGCGAACTAGGGAGAGCCGGGGGTTTCTTTATCAGCTTTTCGAGTTGGTCGACTCTATTGAGAACTAAGTTACTTAGAGATTACGACGGCAATGGTTTCGGTCTCTGCTTTTGCTTTCCTCCTGTTGAAGTAATGGACTTGGCTTCACGTACTACTGGTCTCGGTTTACCAGATGCAGGTGCAGCGTTTCATTTTACCACCGATGCATACATTCTAGCCATAGATACATCGCGGAGGACAGGCGACAGTGGCTCCGGATGATCGGGAGATGAAGCTCGGTTACTCTTACACATAGGAGTAACTGGACTAGATGGTGTTGAAGGCAGTGGGTATGACGATAGCACCGAATCAGTGGTGACTTGTACCCCATCATGGGGAGAAGTGGAACAAAGACTGTGTAAGTAACCCAAGGGAAAGTCGCCGGTATTTTACCAAGGTACGGCAGTGTACACATGAGAATAATATGCCTGCGGAGGTAATCAGCTGGAGCAGCGAATACAGATCTTGGCAAATGCCACAGCAAGCAATGTGAATCCACCCATCACAACCAGAGCACTGGATGGCCTTCGAGCAATTGGTCGAGCAATTGGACACCATAGCGACACGAGAACAAAACTAGCGAAAACGCTGAAGAATTCCCTCAAGAAGTATCGCACCCCGTTCAGTAACTGCAGGAATGACACCAGAAGGAACGGAACGAACGGGAGGTCGCTATCGATCGTTACTCGACCGATCTATGACAATGCATCATACTCATTTCTATACTTATTTGTAAACTTTGCATTGTTAATGGCAACCCTTTGGCAATTTTACAGTCTGTAATGTAAAAGGTTGAAAATGCACCCATTTGGGTATGTAAAACTTATACTTGACTAGAAAACGGCATGCCAATCGTCGCACCCCGTACAGGTCCAGCTATGTTACGCAGTGTTTGCTGATACTGTGCCCAATCAGCCTGGTGAAGCGACGAGTTTGCCAGTCAGCAGTATGGTGAAAAAGCATGCAAAAACTCATTGAAAAATCGAGTCTGCTTGGCTCTTACTGTATTCCCAGACAGTCTCCTTAGGATCAATAATAGAATTGGCTGAACACCTTAACAAATGTGGCGCTGTAGCGAAGCCAATAAGACCATGCAGTGGTGCCCACATTGTTGACAGTTAACTACTTCATCAGAAGTGTCCAAATATTGATCGGTTCTGCTGAACATCATAATCACTAACGATATTATGATATTAATGTGTCCCGAAGGTACCGTATAGGCTAAATATCGGTGCAAAAATCCTGTTTGATAAACTGGACTGAACTGGATCCTGGAAGAGCGGTGAACATTCACTAAAACGCGCGCTAAAAAGGCGAAACGGCCTTTTCGGACACGTGTCAGTCCGTATAGAAGGGAGTTGATTACGATGATCAACTTGAAAACGAAATAAACTATGTCAGTACTTCATAGAGTACCACAAGACAGACATAAGCGGAAGACAGTGCAAAAAGGAGAGATTTCAAAGCGTGGCTAAGTTATATTGCAACTAATGAGAGTGAAAATATCAGACCTCTATACAACAGGTGGCTGTCGTTGAACCGAACTGCATAGGTGGTAAAAAGTGAAGCGTTGTAATCTCAAGTGTTAAAAACTATGGTCACGTGAGCATTCTTATGAATAAAAAATAACCTCGATTCAGAAGGATAATCATCAATGCAACGATGCATGAATGATCATCGTACGCTGATGAGCCGTGCCAAAACCGGGGTACCGTAGAAACGTGGACCAACAGCAAAGAGGGACATTAGCACTCCAACTCGAAACCGATTCCGAGTTGTGGCATGTCTGGTCCGTTGAAAAGTCCGCAAAGAGTAAACTGCAACCCTGTGAAAAAGAAAGTTGGACCTGGAGGCATGTTGGAAACGCTATACTGAAAAGTCAAACCTAACAAAACGGTGAGTAACAACGCCAGAAAGCAAATATTGCGAGGCGACGTTAACATGGAAAAGTGATTAGTTTAGTTTAAAAAACAACAATCGCATCCAACTGACAAATTATTCCAATATGCCCTGGACACTGTTGGAACCCATCTAACCGGCAGGGATAGTCAGGCAATAAGAAGTGTCGTTCCGTTTTATATAATTAACACGTCTTTGTCAATCCGTAGGAGTGAAGAAGACTAGATCGATCGACGGATTCGCGTAAGCTGAGTAAGCAAAAACGAAATGTCACATAGGCAGTGTCTCAGTAACCAACTTGAATGCACTGACCAGAGCCCAACGCATAATCCGATAACAATGCACCGGTGAGAAGTAGGCATTCGCATGACAACCCTAGTCAAAATGCTAACATTTGGGTGCGTAATTGATCACGTCCACGCTTGGGCCAGTGATATGCCGGGATGACGAAGGAGGGAACATCAAAACCAGGACGTAGGGATGGATGGCGATAGTTTGAGCTAAAGCGTGAGCACAATGTACGCAAGGCGAGGAGATAGAACGCAGGCGTTAGTATAGGGAACACCTTGAAATGGAAGTTAGTTCATGAAACAAGCCCACTCAACAGTTTCCCGGCCGAAACGTGTGTGACAAACGAACTGTGAGATTAGCGCACCGGGTACTCAGTTTGGTAGTCGTTTGAAAGGTCCTTGAGAAATTCGGTCGCTGCAATATGAGAAACGCGTACGCAGGTGGGTGAGCCCATGTCACGTCCCAAACAGTATGCAAAACGAGGTAGCAAGACGTCGGCTATTGGTGGAACCGGATGATACACGAAAAGGAGAAAAAACATGTCCAAAGTAATTAGTAGGCGGATTAAAATCAATCTCTCGTGCGTACATATAATGCACGACAAGCTAATTACGTATCGAATACCACAATAATGGCACATTTAGAAATTTAATCACAACCACACCCTTCAATATTCTCCAGCGACTGCCAAGACAGGTTAAGGATGCTACCACCAGTCTCAAGCCAGTCAAGTCCATTACAAATAGGTGTTAGACCGCCAACTCCCGCCTGCGATCGGCCTTGGTCACAGGTGCGTAACACCTTACTGTCCATAAACGCATGTGAATTGTCCTAAATACTCAAAAGTCCGTGTGGGACAAGCCTCTAACAGATCCCAATGCCATGCATCAGAAGTACGCAGACCCATCGTAACGACGCTTCGTTGCCACGCGACCATTAACAGTCAGGGGTGGGTTGAGTAAATCGCAATTTCACCAGCACCAACACGTACTCGAACCGGTGACCTCCAGACTACAAAGCAAGTGCATAATCTTTACGGCCACCCGCTGATCCAAAGTTAACTGGGTCTCGGAAAGTACACGACCAAGCTGGACTTATCCCCCAGTGCTTTGTGAGTCAGACTATTGTGCCAACGGCTCCAGATGGAGCATTCAAGCGAACCACAATGGATCTCTAATGTATTGTGGGTCGGACTAAGGACCTAAAAGCAAGAAGTTGGGCATATCGAACAAAATCCCTCTATAGGAATGGGCAATCGGAGAGTAGCGAAGAGATCGCGGTCCAGTCGCCCTTCGCAACTCTCTTGTTCTTCGCATATAGAGAAAGAGACTGACGCTATCGACGTATGTAGCTTGTTCTTGAAACCAATGGTCGCATTTCATATTGGTTCGTTCAAAGCCCGCGCTCCCCGCCAGATAGACCAACAAGCAGCACCAACACTTAACCTTCACTCCCGCGGAAGTAGTGCGTGTGGTGTCTCTGAAGCACACAGAAAAAAACACCGCCGAAACAAATCTTCCATTCTTTGGTTCTCAATATGCCAACAATAATTACGCTTTTCACATATCCGGTGATGCCGAGTCAGTGGATCAAGGTATTATTCGCGCCAGTAGCACACAACTTCTCTAATAATCAGAAAGCATCTAACCCAGATTACAATGTTATCGGTTGATGGAGGATCAGCAAGGCACATCATGACATAGGGATGTCAAAACGCCTGTCTGTAGGTTGGAAACGCACACGGCTGCGGAGAGTGTGCACGCGCTAGATCACACCTAGTTACGGAATCATGACGGCCGTCGCACATCCCTCGTGGCCCTGTAAGAGTAGGGCTGCGAGTTAGTGCCTCACGGGGAATAGATGGAATGCGCATTCCCAAAAATTTTCAACAGGATAAAACGTCAATCCAATGCTTTTCGGACGTGTAGTTGCTTTCTAACTAAGTGAGGCTGCGACGAAGCTCCTTTGAAAAAGTAATCCCAGTCCCACATTTCTCCAGTCACCAAACATTTATGGATAAACAGTTCCACAGTCAAACAAACAGTATGAGAGAACAAATGTAGAAAAAACACATAAGCACCCCTAGTCAGATAAGTTGTCAGTGAAAGGCTGACGCGAGTAAGGTGGTCCAACTTTGCCTTGAAGAAGTGTTTGTGGTCATCGTCCAGGATATACTTTGAGCCCACGGACCAGGCAATATGATCCAGGTCTCGACTCCAGCTGATCTGTGGAAAGATACGGGGTTAAAAACAATACGGCATTAAAAGCAACCAGCGAAAAACTAAGATTACGAGTTAATCAAAAAGTGACGTTCACAATTAATTCTGGACAAAAAGTAGGTAGGTTCTGGCTGTTTGGACCAAACGGATGCCCGCACCCTATAATTATACCACTCACAATCACCCCTAGATGCATTTTGACTATGATTGGCATGTTTAAGAAAATAAGGATGTAGATTTTGCCCAAGAGGCAGTAGTCTTCGAGATGATCGACATCCATTAAGGTGCATTCATTGTCGCGATATGAATGGCCTACTGAGCTACAGTGGATGGTGCCACAAAGTATCTTGAAACCTACTTCTATCAGATTTACCAACGGTTATAGGTCAAAAAACGCAATCTCCTGGCGCTCCAAGATGAGTTGCGATGTCTTCAATTTATGTGAAATCAAACTGTTGCCATCTCAACACTGCACTACGGTCAGGCTTTCGAAGCAAAGGTGTTGACATTCTTTCGCCTTGGTGTAAGCAACCTAGCAGTATCCCAGACCGCGTACAGCCATGATTATATAAAACTTCAGCCGTAGGCAGTCGCAAAACGGTGGTCATATCTACTACTTACAGCAGCATGGATAAAGGGACAGATGCCACTGCTGATGGCTTCCTTCCCAGTTTTCATTTTATTTCGACTATGCCCCTAGATCCTGTTAATGAACTTCTTTCTATACTTCCTGGCTTACATAGCGGTAACTGAAATATCACTAAAGTTCTGACATGTGCAGCTATCGACTCGTTGTAATGGCTGGATTACTAGCATCAAATTTGCTTATAAGGCCACTCTGCCCCGCTGCCTCGACGGCATTCAACGTTCGCACTCTGAAACAAGGAGGTCAACAGGCTACACTCGCATGCACAGTGAGCATCCTGAGTGTAGACTTCTGCCGCTTATCCGAAACTAGGACCAGTGACACTCAGGAAGTTGAAATAACTGCTCCCGACTTATTCTCTAGCGGAAGTGGGCATTGTCCTCAGTTCCAAGGGCGAATCGTAGTTAGCCTAATGGTTTTCAGCGGGGCAGAAGTTTGTGTGCAGCCCGCTTGGAGATAACAACTAAGGTTAACGCACACAATTGTAACAGACGCCGTTTCTTCTTGGTTGACGCATATGTCCTTAGTTGACAAAGATACCACCCGCCACGCGGCGCAGCTTCGCTAGTTTAGATATCGCTCTAGTTGAAGGGGATGCGAACCCACAGATAAGTCGGTTGAGTTCCTGCGAACCCAAGCTAGGCTCAGATCCAAACGTTAGAATAATAACCATTGTGGATGGCAACTGTGCGCAGACCACCAGGCATCACCCTCTCCAGACAAAGTGAGTGTCGAATTTCCACGTGATGCCCTGTGCGGTTGACCTGCGATGGGCCTAAGTCAGGTCAGGGGCGCCTAAACCGTTTACAGGGAAGGTCACATTTGGTGAGGTAAAAATTTATCGAATCATATTCAGACTGAGATTAATGTAATAACCAAAAATGACATAAGTTATAAAAAAAACTCTGTAAGCTTTCAATGTGAAGGGTGAAACTGAAATCTTCATTGCAGTAAACCGGTTAGGCAAAGCTTAGTAACACTGGTTTTGAAACGCAAAACACCACGAAAGTGACAACCGCTTCATCTATCCACTTTAGGAGAGGAACGAAAAACACCTAAAGAAGAAGTTAAATAATTCATCCTTTTTATTTTTTCAGTTTCGCCAGAACTCTATCATAGTAGCAGAGAAAGAGGTAGAAAAATTTTTGCTTTTTGTGGAATTGCATAATCGGAAAGGTGAAACTGTTGCGTCTAAGTAACACAGCCCAGTAAAAATTTAGACTGAGAAAACCTATAAGACAAAAATCCCGTTCTCTTAATTGATTACCTTTAGCTGGCATAATTGATAAAATATTAACGACCCCACCATTTCATTATTTGATTTAGTTAAGACCCCTTTAGTAAAACACTAGATTGATTACCTAGTTGGTAAGAAAAATGCTACACAGAGGATTTTTGCCAGCAACTGACGCTATTGAATTTTGTACTCATAACGTCTGGTTAGCCGTACAATCTCCTCGTGTTGCCAACTGGGTGCTTCGGGCTTAAACCGTTCCAGCAAACAGTTCAGCTGCAGTTTTCCAGGACGTGGTGGGTTTTCGCCTGGAAAGCGTTCTCTCTATCAAAGCCACAAATGTCCGCTTATCAACACTGCGACGTGGCGGATGTGACTCGTCACAAACTAAAATCAGTGCCCCGTGAATATTCGGAAAATGCTATCCAACCCACGGACATCAATAGTTTATTCTCACATTCCTGACGATTACAGTCAAAAATGCTGCGGCACATTCACAAACACAAGCTACACAGCTAAATTCATACAAAATTACATACCCATACACGCATTCAATTATGCCAAACATGTATTTTTGTACATTTCTGATCATACTATGTTAGCTTAAGATGACGGTGCTTGTAAAGGTTTGCCTCGCATTGTCTAGAATAAAAGTCTATTCATTGATTATTCCATAACGAGGCCGCGGGCCAAACGAAACGTTCACGCGGGTCGCATTTGGCCCGCGGGCCGAACTTTGAACATCCCTGGCCTAAGTAGATCCCATCGCCATATGTTGCAGATGGTGTAGTTAAATTCTCGACTGCCGATAGTGCAGGGATGTGCATCGATTCTGGTATGCTACCGATTTTTAATGGACTTTGCCGGGAGTCGCACTACGCAGCTGCCTCAATAATCCAGACATCAGTCAGCCAAGCCTATCAGGATACCCTGTGTAATGAACCTTCATCCTCCTATTTCAACGAAACCAAGATTCAGTGGAATAGTATATCGGCCAATATGCACGACGAAAGATCCTCTGCTCCCGGTACTATCATACACCGTACAAGGCACGATACAAGTTGTCTATAGTGTATGGACACACTGGATAATTGGATATTTTTCATTAAATTCAAATGAAGCACAAAATTAGTGACAGATCTTTTGCCTCCGCATGGCATCGTCAAAGGAAGAACCGGTGAAGCTGGTACTTCTCAGCAGATGTGAAGGATGGCCATATCGAAAGATATCGGATGATCCGTCATTCAAGGAGAATTCAAACTGCTTTTTCGATGGTGGCGAAGATGAAAAGGACATTTAAGGAAGCAGGCAGCATCTTGTACAAACCACGTCCTGGATTACCTAAGTCAAAATGAAAGACATGGTATGTATAATGTGCGCAAATGTAGGCATGTTTGTCCATGTGTCCATACTTTACGGACACCCCGTAGATCTGAGAGGTTTGTGAATTAGTTGGAATCCAGAAGAAAATTCTCTGCTGCCATTAGGTAAAATGAAACTAGACCGACTATTAAGCAGGAAAGAAAACGGAGTCTGAGTGGTGATAAGGAGTGCTGTTTGATTCAAGGAAGCTGAGAAACGGAATAGAAAGTAACGGACGGCGAGTACAACAGACTCACCGAGTCAACACGAAACACTGGTTCCAGGAATGAGATTATCAAAGTCAAAATGGGTCCCATAACTCACAGTAAAGAACGTCTTCTAGCTTGTTGATCAGAGAACTTTCGTGAGCTGTTCGGTAGGCCAACTGTCACCAGACCCGTATAGGCCCGCAAGGCACAGACCGAAGCACGTTGGACTGGCCTGGTGCATACTTCGCGCTAGCCATTTGGTAGTCCAGTCCATTTCAGCGAGTGTTACGAACTTTCTAAGTGTTAAGGGTTGTTGTAAGACAACCAGAAATTGTGACGGTGCTCGACTAGATAGGCAACCATGGCATTTTGACCATTGATAACGAGGAACTGGAGGTAGTTGATCAATCCACCAATGCTGCAGAATGCATTCGTAGCGATAGATGACTCCTGAAGATAGTTCACGTACCGCGGAAGTTCGAACAGTCTTCAGGGAGTTGCGACATATATCCGAAAGGACGCGGGTACACAGCCACGATGAGAGTCATACTGGAATGAGACTTGGTACTTTCGGTGTGAAGACCTGAGGTGCCTTCAAGTTCTCGATCGTCGTACCCTGCGGAGCACTGCTGGTGTCAGATGGCACCGGCGCATCCGCAATGATAATGCGCGCAAGCAATCAGCAGACGGTGAGAACCAGGCCAGCTGCTTAGAACAACAAACAACATTGAATAAGTTGCGCTCGACTGAGTATGCGCGCTACGTATACCCGATCACCGTCTACACAGGAAGGCCGTAGTTGACTTCCCCGATGCTGCACTGCTACGTAATCACTATCAATCGCGCGCGGGAGAAGTATACCGTGATGTCGCTCTCACCTACGCAGAGATTCGAGTTACAGTGACCTTTGGCTTACAAAGCCCCAAACCTTTGGCCATCAGCCGACTACCGCATGTAGAATGACACAAGGTTCGACATGTGTAGACGTCCATTTGGCAGCGAGAAATGCAGTCAATAACGACTAGACTGGGTTCTGTTGGTCCGCATCGCCTTTCAAACTGGAGTCAATGGGATCCGCCTTTGAAAACTTAACAGGACATTGTGCAAGTTTGGCACTAGTGGTGCGTTTGCTGTCCTTTCATAGTCCGACAGTCTATTTAAAATGTATCTATTGTTGAGACAATTGTGAGGAGAGGCTGATTGGGATGCGGAAGGAAGCCATCTTGCCGATTCTACCTTATCGTCGCACGAAAGCCGGCACGTTGCAACCGTGAGTTGTTGACAAGTTGTGATCGCGTTGAGTGTTTGCCTATGGCGTTTGGGTTTTAGAATAAGCCACCTTTCCTTTCTCATTATTCGCCGTTCCCTAGGTCATTCTGTAAGTAAGGCAGCGAAGCGACAGTTGCTGGTGTCACCGGTACGTGACCTTAAGGATGCCGGCTCATGGCCTTAAGGACCACAAGCCTGACTTGGAATACGAAGGTGCGGGTACGAGCCTGCGTAGGGACCGAGTGGCCTTCGCAGTATCCTTAGCTCGTATGCGACTAGTAGTGGT